TACTCTTTTTCTAAACAATTTGATGTATTGTAATTTGTAGTAAAGTAAAGTTGTTTCGTTATTATTAACGAACGGTTTAAGAGGTAATGCGATATCATGAAAACATGCAAGTTTACCATCAGATTGAGCTCAATTTGAAAATATGTAATCACCTTCTTAAAGGGTACTCTTTTTCTAAACAATTTGATGTATTGTAATTTGTAGTAAAGTAAAGTTGTTTCGTTATTATTAACGAACGGTTTAAGAGGTAATGCGATATCATGAAAACATGCAAGTTTACCATCAGATTGAGCTCAATTTGAAAATATGTAATCACCTTCTTAAAGGGTACTCTTTTTCTAAACAATTTGATGTATTGTAATTTGTAGTAAAGTAAAGTTGTTTCGTTATTATTAACGAACGGTTTAAGAGGTAATGCGATATCATGAAAACATGCAAGTTTACCATCAGATTGAGCTCAATTTGAAAATATGTAATCACCTTCTTAAAGGGTACTCATTTTCTAAACAATTTGATGTATTGTAATTTGTAGTAAAGTAAAGTTGTTTAGTTTTATTAGTCAAAACGTGTAAATTAGAGTACTCACATATGTAAATAGCAAATCCTCTAGTAAAACCTAATTGAAATTAGATAGCACATCCCAGCTAGCTAGCTGGATTGTCAGGTTGTATGGGTTATTTTTTGGGTACAGTTTAACGATCTACCTGTATACAATACGCAACTCATTTTCCCTTATTCAGTAGTGAAGGTTTAAGGCCAATGTGCACGATGAAGAGCGGAAGAAAATCAAAGCAAAAGGAAGCGCGGAGAAGAAATTTTGTTCAACGCATACTTGGCAAAGTTCCGCTGCAAAAGTTCTTTAATATTAATATAATAGTGAGTAAAGAGTAGAAATAATAATATCATAAGCTACATAAATCAGTAAGAATTTTAGTAGACAACATTGATTCAGACGGAGCTGACAAATTTTTTATTTCTTTATTATGTGAGGTTGAGGAAAGTAAAAATAGAAGGAAAAAGTGGATACATCCGATATAGAAAAGGTTACAAACAGGGGCTTTATAAATAAAGAAACAAAAAATACCTAGACAAATGTCACTTGTAAAAAATAAACTACAACATCCTGAACCGACCAAAGATGCTTAGGCAAATACCCCCTGGAAAAATAGGAGATATTACAACATCCTTATGTGGGTATTAATTCATCAATTAATTTTAGGGATACTTCTATCTTAAAATTATAGCACTTGTGTTTTCCACGAATATATTATTCATCAAAGCGGAAAAACAAGTGCTTTAACTTTTTAATTTTACAGTGAATTTATATGTAAATGTAAATTATACAATTATGCAGATGTATCTTAACTTAAGCAATATGAAATTTCCATAACACTTATTTATCAGTAAGTAAAAATTGTTTTTGTCGTTTCAAATTATTTATCAACTTATTTACTTATTAAATTAATTAATATTCTATTACTAATGTAAACT